TTTTTGTTGTGAAATGGAGGAGCTACAATGTCTGTTGTGCTTTACCTTGTCATACAAATCAGGCATTACACAATAGATGTGTCTAAAATAATTTTGAATAGAGGTTTGGCTTAGTATTCTGCCTGTTACCTGCAGGCCATCTGAATTTATAGGCCTGGTTCTGCCTCTATGGTTTTGTGCTTATTAGTAGCAAACCTCTGAAGATTTTGGGGACTAAATAAATGCAAGAGAAACTCTTTATGAGGGGAAGATAATGATCTGAATCTGACTTGTGAAGAACTGAGTAGGAGTTGATAGCACTTCCCCACTTAATTGCTGGCATGGAAGAGAATGACAGCATTATTTAGGAAAGTTGGGATAGCTGTTAAAATCATATTTGTCAAAACCACTATAAATTAGGGTGACATTACACTTTTAAATGTGGTTGCTTCAATATTCGTTAAAAGCAGAGTAAGTAAACTGACAAAATTTATGAAAGATGCTCTGGGTATAGCTAGGGAGCAAAATTAGATTTGGTCATTCATTAGTATTTTAAAGACTGCGCTGTTCTGACTTGGTGTCATAAAGTAGCATCTTAGTTCATGATCATATAATTTGAGTGTGTCCAAGAGACAGTTTAAGTGACTGCTGTCATGCTGGATTTGTGCTGGAAATAGTTATAGCTATTAGTGCCAGTTATATAGCTGCTCTTGAAAGGAAATGGGCTCCTGCTTATGCAGTGGGACTGTTGTCGCATAGCAACTACTGTGCTGAAAGCTTCAAATCAGATGCTCCCTTGAAGTTCACTGTGCCCTAATAATGCTTAATTTATCTGTGCCTTACGCTGCCTTTATCACAGTAGTGAATGTCTTTTATTAATGCACTCAGTAATGTCTTTTATCAGTGCGCTCAGTAATGTCTGGAATGTACATTTACTTTTCTTTTTGCCCAAACTTAGAACTGGGTGGTATCATGCATTTTTTAGCCCAGTTTTCTGAAGGTTGAGACCTCAATAATGTGGTTGCTCACACTGAGCCAAAATTAAGAGTTCAAGCATCCTGGCTTTTCATAATCTGTTAGCAGAAGAAAGACAAACCCAGCATCCCTCACCGATGGGCAGCTCCACCTGGTTCTGTGTTGTCCTCAGTGGAGGCTGTTGCTTGGCAAATAAACATGGATGGAATATTTGCCTTCATGAATGGCACCAAACAATGCCACAGGTGGATGAGATGTGGGTATTTGAGAGTACTGTGGGCAGACTGGGAAATGGGACAGAGAAGGGAACAGTTCCAGTGAGAGAAGAACTTGTGCTTCCTTAGGTGTCACCTTTGGTATTTGGAGAAGTCTTTTATGAAGAACTGAGATTTAAAAGAAACTTAGGAAGGTGTAGGGAATCCTGGCCTGTAGAAGTTGCTTTGTATGAAAATAACATTTTCCACCCCTTGAAACATTGCAATAAATACTGACGTGTGTGTTCTCAGGTCTGTACTTGATGCTGAGAATGCCAACACAGTTCATCATCGTTTCCTCAGTCAGCCTGTTCATGTACTTGCTTGTGTGCAGCCTTTGACTTTGCATGTGCTGGGCTCAAAATTAGGCTTTAGTCAGGAACTTGCTTAGGAAATGGCATTTTGGAGAGGTGCTGAGGAATCTGCTTCAGTAGCTGTTAATTAAACCGCTGCCTCAGCCAGGGCTTTGGATTGTTTATACCATATACTCCTGAAAAGTGGGTGAATATGTATAGATGTATTTAATCCCGTGAAGCTTTGGAAGAACACGTGCTTTTCTGTGTTGATCATTTAGGAGCATCTCGATGCCATTTTGGGATGGAACATGTCCTCTGACAGAGCTCTGTAAAGCACTGTGTTGTGCTAACCTTGCACTAACACAGAGTGACGCGGGTGCTGTTCATCTCCTGCTTATTTTAATACAGTGCTGATATAATCCAGGCCTCTTCCTCTGCTTAAGTAGTTTGGGTGTACAGAAGCAAAGTAGTCTAGACTGTTTGTGTTAGCTGACAGGAAATGTTTTACTGCTGCCTTGTTAGAGGTTGTATTGTTTTAATTTGTTTGGTGGTTCTTTTCCTAAAGAAGAGATTCCAACTTCTGCCTAAGATGCCTTAGGTTGTTATTGCATAGGGTTGCATTAAATATGGGAGGGTTTTAAACTGATATGCTGAGTAAATCTATTAGCTTCTCTACTTGTAGAATGTATGATATTAAGAATCTTCTGCAGTTCTAAGTGTTTATTGGATTTTATCCAGATTTTATTTTATATTAGAATTATTCAAATTTGCAATGTTTTCTAACAGTTTTTTTAATTTAAGAAAATTCTTGTGTGATGACTGTATAAAATGGTCCTCTGCATTTATTAGAATGGATTTCTTGCTGACTGCTTTTTTCAGTCAGGATTGTAAAATAAATAACTGTCATTCCTTCATACTTTCACAATTTACAAACACAAGGGTGTATTAAACATCTTGTAGTTCCAAGTTATTTTACTAAGCTCCAGTGAATTAATCATTAGATGGAAATAGTTGAAAAATGCAAACGAGGTTTTACTGCAGCAGATCTTTAGCACTTTGTCACAAAGACCACTTCCAATACTTACTCAGTGACCTCTATCACTGAATATGTATTCATGTAAGCTATTAAAACAGCTTTACTTTTAATAAATTTTAGCCCACTTACAGGTTGCCATAATTTAATACCTAATTTTAAAAAAAAACCAAAAACCTGCAAATAAAAAATATGACTTATTAATTACTATGTAAGAAGCTTCAAAGTTTATCCAGAGCTGGATTCTGTAATTCTTAGTAAGTAGCTCTTACTTGTGTGAGTCATCTGAAATGCTATTCTGTAGCTGTTGCCGAAACTTGCCTATGATAATTGGCATTTTTCTCATATTAAAACATCTTTTATAACTTTCTATGTGAAAATGGCCTTGTGCTTTTGGAAGTTGAGATGACTTCCATCTTAACAGACCATTAATGATTAGCTGAATAATGAATATTGGGTGTTTGTTAGGAGAATCTGCCTCTGTTCACTCCATAGGCTGAGGTGATTTGCCTTCTCATTTCAGTCAAGTTGGTGGTGAAGGTGAGGAAGTTGTTTGGAAATCAGGTGGGATGGTTTTGGAAAAACGTCTGAAATACTTTTCATTTGTTATACCTGATAACATTAATATTTACTTTTTGGTAGTAAATCTACCTTTTATTATTTGTTTTCAATTAGGAGTTGAAAGGGATTTTGTAAATTTTATCTACAACTGTATTACCTGGGTGTACTTGTTACAGTAATTTAGCTAATTAATGACTTCACAAAATACTTACATTTGCAGTTCAGATAATTTTCAGTCTCAGTAATTTTAGTCAGCCTACTGAACATCTGGAGGAAGTAAATACATGTCAGTTGTTACTTTCCTCTTTTTTCTTGTTGATGTTTAGAGTGAGAAAATATCCATTGTGTTACATAGAAGCCTTGATTTAAATTAATATAAATTGTTCTATTGAGAGCCCTCTTCAGAGATACTTTGTTCTCTTCAGAATTCTGACTAAAAGCTGGTGAGTGGCCTCACATCATTGTTGCTCTGTGTTTGGACAATGCTCAGTRTCTGCAGTGGAGTATTCCCAGTCCCTAATGAGKTTGGAATGCCAAAGCTGCTGTGGAARCTAGRAACAGAATCACTTGTTGGAAAACCTTCCATTTTTGCTAACTTTTATTTGTTGTATTGATAATATTCCTATTTGTGCAGAAAATGTGACCTGGAAGTATGCTGACACACTTKAAAGCAAGATTTTGATTATGTCAATTTAGTCTTTACATGTAATTAAAATAAGTAAATATTCTGTAAGTGTTTTGTGAAACATGATGAAAAGCTGTAGCTTTTTCTGTAAATCTCTTAATTTTTATAGTTTTTTTAAGGTTTAAGCAATATATGGAGAAGTTAGTGTGTCCCTTAACTGGTGATCAGCCTCTGCTTGTCTTGTTTTCAAGGTTTCATTTACACTGTGTTCTGTTGCCAGACGTTCCCATTGATACTGAAATGCTCCTGTAAAATCAGTCCAGGTCACCTGACATTGTTAAACTCCAACAGTGATGTCATATCTAAACATATTTTAATCAGCTATGGTCCAACTACTCTTCTGATCCCTGTGGCAGTACCTGTTTGGAAAGAAACAGCAACAGCAAAAACAACTCCTCAAGATGTGTGCTCTGGTCTCCTAGGGAACCACATGTCTTTGTTCTCTACTGAAGACAAAAACAGGGATGAAAATAGGTTTAATGCCCCTGGCAATAACTTAAGATTTTTCTAAAATGCCATTTGAGGTTTTTGATCCTGTGTGAGTAATAACCTGACAATCTCAGGAAATGTGTTGTACCATGTTTTTATAYAAAATTCTGGAAAATTATTTGGAAGTGTTTGCAAAATGGCAAGAAATCTAAAATTCTTGAAATGGAGACAAATCACACAGTGAATTGCAAGAAGTAGAAATTGGGTGTGGCACTTGTGATAGCAACTTGTGTGTTTAGGAGATTCACAAATGCATTATTGAAAGACAGAGTACTGTCCTGTAGTGATATATTTTGAATTTTTGTGCACTTTAAATTAGGATTTTTTCTAGCTCCTGTTCCTGTAGGTAAGGTGTTTCAACTCAGAGGAAATGTCTCCCAAAAGACCAGATTTCTACTCTGTGTTTGGTATCTATATAAATTTATCAGCTTAAAAGGAATCCCAATGTTTGGTACTATCACTGTTCATCATAAGCTTCAATAAATCATCTTGGCTGAGGCCTCTTAGCTGAATAAAATAAGTGCAGAATGGTGCTCGTGGGTGGTGGAGCAGGTGTGTTTTACCAGTTTGTCCTTTCTGTTCAGTTTCCTCTTAGTTTTGATCACATCCACAGGTTTAAATCTTCAGACTCCCATTTTTAAATAAATGCAGATGGATAATATGTTTTGGAGAAGCTTCTTGGAGTGCTGAAAATATTTATATAATACTGTATATGTGTTTATTTCTAGGAGAAGAAGCTACAGCTGAAGTTCCCTCGTCTTTTGTGATTCTGTCTCTGTGCACCCTGGTAGTCCTGGTGATTCTGCTTGCAAACTGTGTGTCCTGCTGTAAAGATCCTGAGATAGATTTCAAGGTAAGATTTAGAGTTATTAATGTGTGTACAGGTGATATTGTCAGCTGCATCCTGATATCCACAATACTTCATTTCTTGTGCTAATACTCTGCAGTGTCACTGTATGTCCTTTCTTCTGGAACAGCCATGTTCCCACAGACTGAAGTTTTGATGCAGCCATTTATTTTAACTAATTGGTCCCTGCTGCAGTAAGGATCTTTAATACCTTTTCAAAATAATAATTAGCTATCAGGATCAGTAGTAAAAGTTACACCCTTAAGACAGTTTTGGTGTAAAGAACCTTTCTGTTGTTTCTCTTTTGTTTTTCTTAGTCTTCTGGCAGGGTTTAAGACACTCCTGTCAAACAAGAATACTGAAAGTGCAGATCCACTGTAGCAAAACTGTTGAGAAATTATAATCAGAGAATAATTACTTTTGGAATATCAGTTATTAGTATTGTAAAATTGAGTTTTACTTTCATTTCTACATGGGGAATATTTGGCCTCAGCAGTTCACAGTAATTCATTCAAAGCCAGGGCTAGCATTTAAAGTCAAAACAAAACAGAGTCAAAAAACCACCAACACCAACAAAACCCAAACCACCAAAGCCACAAAAACCCAACTAAACAAACCCCCCTTSATTATTAAATGCAATGCTTTCATCYCTTAAGTCAGCAATTAATGGAAAATAAGGACTAGAACACTGTCTGTCACTATTCTTGGAAAAAAGCTATTCTTCCTTAGCATTGCTTATTCAAACTGAAAGAAATGTGTTAGTGCTTATTGAAAGAGCAGGATCAGCTTGTTTACCTGTTTATCTCTTGTTTAGGAATTTGAAGATAACTTTGATGATGAAATAGATTTTACACCTCCAGCAGAAGATACTCCATCTGTTCAGTCTCCAGCAGAAGTGTTCACCCTTTCAGTTCCCAATATTGCTTTACCAACTCCCTCCCAGTTTCCATCTCGTACAGGTAAAATGCTGGTTTTCAATGAAAAAACAAAAGTAGGCATTTTCTGTGTCAAAAATGGAGTGTGGCTGATTGTGTTTGACTTTATTGTAACAAATAACTTGTTACAAATGTTCATAAGCTGAGCCAATATATTTTGTAGGGTATAGGATAAAATGTGAAATACTTTACTTCTAAGATGTTAACCTGTGGCAGGGTAAGAGAGCTTAAGAGAGCAAAACTGCCTTAAAATCTCTTCTCTAGATTGCTGTCATTATATCTCTATCTCTGTGTGGCATTACATACCTAAAGGGTTTGAAGTACCCTGGGACATTTGTGACTTCTGCTCTTTAGTGGTTTTCTTCATGGCTAAGTTGTCAGTGGATTTTAACCACCACCCTTAAATGGAAACAACAGTGAATCCCTTACTTGACAGCAGCACCACTGTTCAGCTGCATCACTTTCTTAATGTCACTCTGCACTATTGCTGCTGGAAAAGTCAGCTTGGTGAGGCAGAGCATTGGGCTTCATCTCCCTGTGTGGAAGGGTTTTTGGAATGTGTTCTTTAAAATACAGTTTTGGTAAAGGAAATTTAAGCATCCTATAATATGTGTGCACCTAAATGGGAATAAACCTTGTGGAAGCTTGCCTTGTTTCCTCAGCAGTTGATAACTTTGGCCATCTGAGTGGTTTGATCCGTGTTCCATTTGTTTCATTGTCTGACAGATGGATCAAAGTCTCAAGTTGCACGTCAGAGTCTAAACTACATCCAGGAAATTGGAAATGGCTGGTTTGGAAAGGTGAGGAGTTATCTCTTCAGATTGCACAGGTTGCAGCTTATTCCCAGCTGACTGGGTCTCCATATTTACTTCAAAATAGTACTGAAAAAAAAAAGAGCAATAGCATAAGAAAAATGGAAATTGAAATTAGATATTTCCTTGCATGCACTCTTTAGCTGTAATCACAGCACTAATGAATGCTTTTTAAAATTTGCCTGTAGATTCTTCCTAGGGACTAGTCAGACATTTCACTTCCATGGATTTAATACACTCCTGTTTATACCTATTCTTCTTAGGAAAAAAATTAAGTAAATAAGTGGTCTTCACTAGAAAACATGTTTTCTGAAAGCTGATGTGTAAATCAGTTGTCAGGATTTAAGTATGGATATTTAATAATCAAAGCTCTGTTTGTGTTTGTAAAAAAAGCCAGAAATTCTTTCCTACATCGTATCTTTAGCTCTTGCTTTTCTTTGCAGGAAGACTTCAAATGTTTTTTCCCCTCTAATGAAGACACAATCTCTTTTTCAGGTTCTCCTTGGAGAGATCTACACAGGCACTAGTGTAGCTCGGGTAATAGTGAAGGAGTTAAAGGCAAGTGCAGGTCCCAAGGAGCAAGAACAGTTTTTAAGAAATGGAGAGCCATATTAGTAAGTAATGTTTCACAGCTTCATTCTCCTGCAGCTGAATGATGGACATTGCTTTTATTCAGTGTTATTGTCTCTACTTGTCCTCCCATATAACTGTAATGTTTGTCTTTAAAATGTGAAATATGCTCTACCCAAAGTGAGCACAAGTTGTGTTCACATCATTTATAGTGTGCTTTATCTTGCCTGGATGTGCTGTAAAAGATTGGTCACTGAAGAGTTTTCTCTTCTTGGTGCTTTTTAACATCCTGGCTATATTTGCATTTAGGTTTGGGTTGCTGACAGTTGTCAGAAGAAATTTCATGCCTTCTGCTGCATTTGCAAAAGTGGGTTTGAAGCAATTTAGGAAAAGTAACTGATCTGGCTGGGAACAAACCTGGTTAAAAAAAGGTTTATCTTTTAGCCAGCTCTGTACCTTGGTGTGGTTCATGAATCAGTTGCATGATTTTATTTTTGGAATGAGGGGTGGTGGGAGGATGGGTGTGACTCTCATGTGGTAAATCCTGACTTTTGTGGGTTTGAGATCCTCGGAGTTTTGGCTGCTGTCAGTGATACACTTCAGCACTACAAAGGAGATACAAAGGTACAAATGGAATCTGTGCCTTTGGTACTTGCACCTTCTGTTCCTGCCACCCCCTGCCAATGTTATGTGTTGAAATTTGTGGTAGGGATTTCAGTGTGTTGCATTCTACTGTGATCTTGCTGGCTTTAACTGTATTTTTTCACTCCAGCATTCTTCAGCATCCAAATGTTCTCCAGTGTATTGGGCAGTGTGTGGAAGCCATTCCTTATCTCCTAGTTTTTGAGTTCTGTGACTTGGTAAGTGCACTTATACAGAATGCTGCTGTTGTTTTTCCACTGGTGTAAATTGTGTGTGGTATATTTACTGCCCTTTTTCATTCTGGAAAGTTTTGTGTATAACCAGAATTTCAGAAGATTTTTTTTTTTGCTTGTTCAGAGACCCTGCAATTACAATTTTTTGTTGTACTCTTTCCAATTCATCGTGTATGTTCTGAGTTCTTGTGGGATGTTCTGAAGAGGCAAATACCTGTTCTTTGATAATGAGATTGATAATGAGATTGAATCTCTTTCATTCTGCCTTCAGCAGGGAGCTTGGAGGGCAGAGGATGTCATAGAAGGGAGCTTTTTATTGCAGTCCACTATCACAGACACTAACTTCACATCAGAAATGATATTTGCTGTCCACAGTCTTAATGTGCTTTTATTACCATTTATGTCAAAATGTTAATTGAGGAAAATTGAAGAATTTTTTGCCTCCTGCCTCCTTCTCACCTCCACAGTGCCCAAATTTTACCCATGCTGTGCAGCTTTGAGCTAAAATGCAGTGGTGGGCTCGCTTCTGATATCAGTCATATGAATTCTAATAGCTAGAATTTTCAGTTTCTCTGCTCATTCTCTTCCTAATCCTTTTTCTTACTGTATTATTCTTGTCTCTGCATTCTCATCCTTTTATTTCCCTTCCCATGCCCTTTCTACCCCACAAGCACCTGCCTTGTTCCTCCTGGCACCAGAGAAAAGCCAGGAACACAGTGCAGTGGTCACTGAAGGGGAGGGAGAGCACAAAGCCTTTCTGCATTCCTTGGAATGTACTGGAGTGTTGGGAGAAGGGGGAGGCACAGAGAGAACCTTTGAACTGTGCTCAGTGTGCAGAGTCAGCAGAGACAAACATTTGGATCCACTCTGGAAAGAGCTGAATTGTTTTATTGTAGCATAACAATTACTGTAACCAAGCAAACCCCACAGTCCAGGTGTCTGTGTAAACATTGGCTCAGTAGCTGCTGTTAAAGTTTGGTGTGTAGATGTCATCTAAAGCAGAATTCCTTGGAAAATGGCAAGATAGAAGTGAAGTCAGAAGTGCA